TTTCTGTATTGAAGCATCTTTAAATATATTATTTTATGCATTTTCAATTATATGTGTGTGTATACATATATTCCCTCTTTCTTTCATTTTATACAAATTATCACATACCATACACACTCTGCTGCTTTATTTAACAATAGCTATATGTTAGAATTTGTTCCATATTAACATAAAAGAATATCCTTATATTATTTTTTATAAATTCTGTTAATTTTATGAATAGGTCATAATTTATTTAACTATTTGCTTATATAAGGACATTTACATTGATTCCAAATTTTTGCTTACACAAACCATTTCAAAAAAGAACTTTGTACATCTGAAAAAAACATGTTTTAAGTATGAGGATTCAAAAATGTTTTAAGTATTCAGTTTTTTTTCCAGTTTCCTGAAGATAATCTTTATTTTCTCGGTTGTGCTAATTTTATGATGCAATTTTGTGAGCAAATAACTGTGAGAATCAAAGAGGAAAATTGCTTTTCATAAAATAGAGCATAGAGCTCCCTAAAAAGACTATGTAAAAGGAGAAAGGTTATAGCAAAGGCAGATGAAGAGAAGGAGAGAGTAACAGGCAGACTTGTGACTTGAAAAGAAGTGGAAAGAGGGGTTTGGGGAAGTGGCTGCTGTCCATGATGAGCTGGACTTTAGGGACAAGACAACTATTCGGTATCATTAGTAGGTTTCCTGAGTGACGTGTTGGTAATTATCTCCTTAACTTCTTAAAAAGATATTCAGTCTACTTGCTTTTCAAAGTTTTAATATATTAGATTTGTGCCCCTTTTGACAAGCAACATGCTGAAATGATACTTCAGGTGGGAGAAACAAGACCCATGATATTTTGTATTTTTTGAGATACTTCTATTTTTATTAAATAAGAATATAAGATTTTCATTCCAAGCCCAGTAAAAATGGTTAGAGCAGTTTCATTTTTCTGAGAATATCTGTCTAGAGAAAAAAAAGATTTAAAATATTACTCCTTTATTCCAAGTATCAGTGTAGTATGTTCTAAAAACAGTTGTATATTGCATTTTATGACACCTATCTTTATATCTAATTGTAATGAAAAGGTTTATTTATTTATTTACAGAAGCATGTATTTAAGCCCCTGAGTAACTGATTTTCTTAGATTGTGTGCAGATATTGATAGAGAATTATTTAATGAAGATTTTGGGATTAAATTCAAAGTTCACTTTTAGTGACTTTTTAGTTTACTTAAATGACAGAGACAGCTCTGAAATAAGGTATAAACTACCATATATCACTCAAGAGACAAGTGTATCACTTTAACTGAAAATGTGGTTAATCTGTCTAAGTACTTCACTTTGCAAGAGTAAGAGATATTTTCTCATGACGAAACTTTAAGAGGATCTAATTGGTCTCTGTTGCACTAATCCTAAAACACCACTGTCAATATGTTGTGTCCTGTTGGGAACGTCCCCTCTTTATTTTCCATGTCTCTGCAATCATACCCTGAGACAGTTTTGGGGCAGTTAATGCAAGGATCTTTTTTTCCTTCATTTGAGTAAAGGCTACACATGTGTCATAGCTCAGTGGTTATCGTTACATATCTATTTAATAGATATTGAGTGCCTTCCAAATATCAGGCACCTACATTTCTCTTGGTTCTCATTAGTTGTTACTTGATTATATTGAGTTAAAAATACCTTCAAGAATGAGATATTAGAAAAGGAAGGACTTCCTTGAAGAGTATTTGAGGATTATGATAAAATATTTCATTACTTCTAACGTTATCTCCTCCTGTTCTCCTGCAGAGACCCATCACAGTAGCCCAGAAATAAGAAAAGTTTAACCAGTTCTCACCATGGGCTCTCTGCCCCTGCTATTGATCCCTGATCTTGATCTCTTATCTTCTAATCAGAGCCTTTTATGGCTTCTCTTACTCACTTTATGCCCTCTTTTTAATCCAGGTCTTTATCATTTTTTTGTTACTTCTGATAGCTTCTGTACTGTAATCAAACCTATTTTTGAATACACTCCTTTTATTCTCTAATGAACTATAAAACTCTTAAAGTTAGTAATAATGTATTCTATTTCTTCATTTTCCGTAAAATACAGAAGACAATAGGTGCTCAGTACATAGTAAACACATAAACAAATAATTTTCATATTAGCTCATATTGAGTGAATAAATGAACAAATTAATTCTGCTCTTTGCCAAGGTAAGTAAAAGGATTGGCAGAACAAATTTAAACAATAGTCTAATGTTGAACATTTATTTGATTAAATAATAGACTGAATAATGTTATTACAGAATGTTAATTTTGGAAATTTTGGAGACCTTTATCCAGCAGAGTCAAATTATTTATGTTTGCTGTTTTCTTTTGATTGAATAATCTGAATGAAAACCAATCTTCCCCTCACTTTGATCGGGCAGACATAGCCTAAACGTTCAGAACCAGAATCACACTCATCAAATAAACTTCAGTAGTCTCCTTTACCATAATTACTATTTTTTACTTTCACCAATGGTTATTTCACATACCCCTATAAAACAGAACTTTATAGACATGACATTTGAGGCTGTCATATTTTATATATTTGCTCAGTCTTTTCAAAGGCAAATGCCCTAATACCTTGTTGCTAAATAGTTAGGAAAAGCAGAGTTGCTATAGATTTAACATTAATATTTCTTCTAAAGAAAAAATGGATCTAGACAAAACTTGTCTTCATTACTTGTTATAAGCATTGTTCAGAAATTATAGTGATGACTCAAGAATAACTCAAATGAGTATTCATGTATGGATATTTTGAGTTATATTATGAGAGGATAATTCTTCAAAACAAACAAAAATGTTCTCCAAAGTAAGGTGTTGGGAAACTACAATTACATTCATCTAAATATGAAATATGTGTTCATGACAACGTAACGGTGGACACCATGTGAGTTGTGTCCTCAGACAGGCTTGTGTTTGAGCGTGATGTGTACTTGCTATGTATTATATTGTTTTTAGTCTTTTACATCCTGAAAAGACTAAAAACAATATAAAATAAAAACAACAGGATTTTGCCCGGCATAG